GGTGGGTTTCTCCTTTTTTTGGATGTTCCAGAGGGCTAATGCCGGCCCGGCCAACCAATTGAAATATCCGATTGACATATAGGTGCTATGCATTGTTTCCTCGAAAGGTTGCCTTCGGCCCGGCTGCCCGGCTCGCCAATCCAGAAATGTTCTCAGCTGCAAGCCCGAAGCAGCTGGCAAGGGATGTGTTTGGGGGGAAGGGGGTCTGATGCCCAGGCCCATATCCGTTTTAAACCAATGGTAAACCAACCCTAAACCAACCCAAACACCCCAACCACCTCCCACCCCACCCCACCTTCACAGGGAGGTGGGGGAGAGTTCTACTGCCTCGAACAAATATTTAAATAGCCCAAGCTCCTGGAAGACGAGTGCCGCCGGATCGGCGTGGCTTGCAAAGTAAGGCCGCAATGTCCACAGAAGCAGCGACTCACTGCAGGAAGCCAGCAGCCCACCTCACCCGGAGATGACATATGGGCCAATATAGCGAAATGTCTCTCTTGCCTGGTTTGATTGAAAGGAGGCCAAAAGCAAACCAAGCATTTTGGGTGGGGCCCAAGCCCGATTATGAGATCAATGACTGCCCTTGATACCGAGTGGGGGAGCTGGCACATCATCCGTTCATACCGTATGATCATACCGCACAAAAGAACTTACGTTGGGGGACTATCCACTGAAATTCAGACCCCCATGCTGTGATGGACAAGGCTGATCCCAGCTTGCACTCTTTTAGTCTTAGGGGCCGGTCCGCTTGGGGCCGGAGGCTGTGAGAGGCTCCAGCTTGGTATCGTGGAAGGTCTTGCTTGATCTGTTTTGAGTGGCATCTTTGCAGGGTTGGCCTGTAAGTTGGACAGCCGGGCAGTCGGTGTACGCAGCGTCAAACGGTTTCGCCGAAATCTACACCCTTTGGGGGGACCATGGGCTTTTTCAATAAGCCAGGCCAGCTAGTGTAAAAGACCTAACACAAAAAAGAAGAGCCCGGATGCCTGCGCCATCTCTGAGCCGGTTCTCAGTGCAACAGAGCATGCCAGGTCAACTTGACACTTGGGGCTCTATAAAGAGCGTGCGATAAACTGCTCAATCCTTTTCGGTGTTGTCGTCTCTTGCCCCTTGTCGTTGCGCAGTGTTTTGCGGCTCAGGCTCGGGCGTCGAAACTTTCAAGCAAACGTGTAGAGCGCGAAGTGCGCGCTGGCAGCTCCGGCTCGAAAGTCGCAATTTGACGTACAAGTTTAGTTTGTGCTCGAAGTACACTTTGGCAGATCCGGCTTGGAAGTCGCAGCCTTTTTGTGCAAGTGTAGCGTGTGAAGCACAACGTGGCAGCTCCGGCTCGAAAGTCGCAACTTTCAAGTGCAGGTGTAACACGAAGTACACTTTGGCAGCCCCGACCCGAAAGTCACAACCTTCAAGTACACTCGCAAGCGTAGAAGCCGTACGCAAAGACCACTTTGGCAGCAGAGCACCACTCATGCCTTACCAATTGCTATCATTTGTTGCCCATTCTTGCTTTGCAAGGCTTTTTGTTTGTATGTGAAAAGGCCGGCCTAATGATTAGGTAGAACTACCATCGTTTTTTCACTCTTTACACGGACCCGTTTTGGCTGGATGTAGTAGCGAAAAAAACCAAAAAACACTTCACAACCGAGCGGCGCATGCGCTTGTCTAGGGAGACATGGTCATGGGGCAGGTGGCAGAAAGAGCACTTCGAGCCGTGTGGACAACTGCGGCGTGCGAAGTGCGTGCACGGGCGTCGGCAAAGTTGTGGGTGCCCGCGGCTGCCAATGGTAGGCGGCGCTGGCGCGATGTAAATGTCCTGCGGAACAGTCGTGGGGGAACAAGGAGACCGTCCTGGCCTTCAGCCAACGGCAAGTCTGGGGATGGTTTCAGCCGCCAAACTGTTGGGACCCAGGGGCTTGATGGAACACACAGCTACCAAGTAGCCACGGCGAGCTTCCCTCGCGTTGCGGTTTGGGGGTAATGGAAACCATCTGGGGCAATTGCTGATCAAATGAACGCACTCGCCTGCTCGGGCAACTTGTTGCGTCACACGTCAACACAAGAGTGGCACCTTTGATTTGTGCTATCCCCGGCGGAGCCAAATCGCACAATCGGTTCCGGAAAGGTGGCAAATTTGCGCAGGGCGGCCGAAAAAACAGCCGCTACTTTTCCACTTGGCGCTGAATCCGCATTCTGACGCCACATGAGTGGCACGTCGACCTAGGAGGGGGCCAAATTGACGTTTTTTCACGGGTACACTCCGTCTTTCAGGGGTAAACTCCGTCATTCTCGCAAAATCTTCGATTTGTCAAATCAACTCAAGCCGTCTGCAGTTCCCATGCAGCGCAGCTAGCCGACAAACATTGAATCACCACTTCCCAGACGGTAGCCCTGCCCATAACACGATCCAAGACATGTTGTTGTGTAGTAATGCTACGAGTTTGTTGCGCATGTGACTTCTTGAATGCTTGCGTGAACCACGCATCGCGGCATAGTTATACTTGCATGTGGCCAAGGTAATCTCGACCAATGGGGTCCATATCCATGCAGGTTGCATAGCAAGCATGAAGGCTTACCTTGTCACATGCGTGCGACATGTGCCATATATGAGTGTAATGGAATGCAGGCATGCGTGTTGCATCACCGGGCCTGTGATGGTGCTTTCAACTCCAAGCCCGGCTGACTTTACAAGTGGACCCAGCCAACACATACACCTTTCACGGGCCACGCACGGGTAAACGCAATCTTTTGGGTCCGCCTATCTGCACAGACATAGTCTATCAGCGTCTTAGGAACACTGGGATTAGTCTGTACGCATTCTGTGCGCAAGCTGTACACGGTTCATCATTCCATCGTTCCTGTAAGCCAACAACCCTTACACCAAGCGGAGGGCAACACTAAGGCCAAAATAGCTTCTCTTGAAAAGAAAAACCGTTCCGACAACCCCATATAACCAGCATCCAGCCACAAGGATCCTCGCAGAACAACGTCTTGCAAACAGCCTTGGAAAAGCAGGCCTACACGAGCTATCCGCAGGGCATTTCCACAGCTGGGTGCCTGCTCTGTTGGCTACGGGGCAGACATGTGCAATGTGTGAGAAATTTGGCGAAACCTCGTGTGGACCCTACTGTTTCTGATTTGCGTTTAGGAGCTTCACGCGTACACATTGGACGCGCGCATGTTGCGTCGTGGCTGTGCAAGAAGTAGCTACAGAGTGATAGCCAAACAAATGGAAACAACAGCAATCCTAGTGTGACAGAAACTGTTGTCGTCGCTGTTGTTGTCGTTGTCGCGGCGGCGTGAAAGCAGCAGCAAGAGCAGCAGGAGTAGAAGCTAGTAGGCGTAGGAGTACGAGGCAGGGGTAGGGGGAGTGGGGGTAGGGAGGGGGGAGCAGCAGTGGGAGGAGTGAGAGTAGTGGTGGTGGTGGTAGTCGTAGAAGTAATGGTAACAGCGGTAGTCGTAGTGGTACTGGTAGTGGCAGCAGCAGCAGTAGCAGAAATAGCCGCAGTAGCAAAGAAGCATATGTGCTGACTGAGGGCAAGGGGCCCCAAAAAATAGCAGTTTGAGGGAGGAGTCGGTAGCTCAATATTGTTTCAATTTGGGCTATTCTATTCCAGCGTTGGGCCCCAAAAGGGCTCTGACAGAAACACCTACTAGTACATATGCGGACCTTCATCATCATGGGGATGAGATTGCTCGCTGTCAGCATGTTTGCTCAACAGCCTTCAGGAAGGAACTACTACTCCCCCCAGCAGCCGCAATGGCATCCCTCCCATGTTGTCTGTTTGTGCTCAAGGTTTACGCTCAATAACATTTCAATCTAAAAATGTTCCCACTACGAGCAACCTTCCCGCAGAGCGAACAACACCAATCAATGTTGTACATCTCATTTAACGCCCAGGTTCCGGTGGCTCGGGGCCGCAAAATGTTGGCTGTATCCCGGGCCTTAACACTCCCATTTCCTTCTTTCCTGCTCTTGGGATTTCACCGCGCGAAGATACCAAGAGACAGGCAGGAAACGGATGGGACATCTCTTAATTCTAGGGGTACCTTCCCCATTCTTTCCACAGATCCTTCTTTTCAAAAAACCATCAACAAGCCAGGGAAACGGATCCGGTTGAACAGATCGATGGTTGAAAAGAATGGAATTGGAATCAACCCCTAGACCTTTGGTTTCTTTGGTTTCCAGACAATCACCGAAAAAGATACCCTAGAATAATATAGAATAATTGTCCTTCAGCCGCCTTTTTTTTCGTGGCTGTCCGCTGTCCTGCGTCTCCCGCTTCGCCTTCAGCTTCTCAGCCCTCTCCCGCAGCTGGGCCACCTCGATTCGATCGCGCAACCCCGAGACGCCTGGATCGGCCTGCCAACAAACGTTGGGCGTTTTTGCGGGAGGTTCTGAAAAACAAAAAAAGGCCCCTAAAAAGGTTGTGGGTGTGTCTAAGAAAGGCTCTTGTGGGTTTGCTGGGCATTTGTAGGGGCCCATGTCCGAAAAAAAGGCTGATAACAACAAAGCTTTTGGTTGTACCAACAAATGACAACAAACAAGACCATACAAAAAAGAAAATCGGTCTTTCCTTTGGGTTTCCCTTTGACGCCGCACCAAGAGTCTAAGAGGGGCCGGGCCCCCTGAGAAAACCATGGGCCTCAGCCAGGCGCCCTACGAAGAAACGGCCCTTTGCGCGGGCTTAGAGGCAAGTAGGTCCCCACTGGTAAGCGATCCGTTGGGCACTCAGTTGCCCAAAGGACCCAGAAATCAAAGGCTAACCTTTTGGGGCCATGACTAAACATGGACCAAAATATCCTGGATTAAACATTCCTAAAGTCTGCAAATTCCTTCCCCATGTCACCTTGTCTACACACGCTTTGGTGAGGATGTCCGCACCCTGGTAGTGCGACGGACATGCTACGAAGCGAAAAATCTGTTCATTGTAACCAAAAGGTTGATAAAAGCTCGGCTTTGCACAACTGAGAAAACCAACAAGGGGAAGATAAAAAGCAATCTCATCAGCAAATGGAAGGGGAGGGTGGCTCAAACGGGGCATCCCCGTTTTGAGCCTTCCGCGCCTGACTTCTTTGCGCCTGCTCAAGCCCATACTCCGCACTCATCGCCTTCCTGGACCGAAATGCTGGGCAGCTGGCACTGCCTTGGCCAAAGACTTCAGATGGGGAGGGACGCCCAACGCGTCATTCAACCACGGTATCTGTGCTTGGTTTAGGTGAGCAACACAGAAAAAGGGCCGTCCACGGTGCTGCGCATGGTTGCGAAATCCATTCCACCATCGAAATAAAACCATATTGGAAACCATAAGGTTTGTTGGTAATTCCGTTGGGGAATCGGTTCCTTTGAACTTCTTCGGTGGTGCGAGATGGATTTGTCCACCCAAAGTTTCAAAGAAAAAAACGAAGAAGAAAACAAACGGAGGACTTCGTACTGTGGATGGTTGCGATCGTCTAACGAAGTGAAACCATGGGAATGAAACCATAACGGTTCTTGGCATTTAAGAGCTGCGGAATCGTTCAGGCGCAAGATTTCGCAACCATCAACAGTATCACAGCTGGCCATGAAAGCCAGTTCCACTGTCTGAGCCCCTGCCACGCAAACAAAGCCAGTGAATTGTGCAGGTGCCATCTGGGCAAATTACTATGAGTCTCAACTGCCCAGTGGACATGCGCAAAAATACTTTGCGCCCCCTGTTTTGTCGGATGCGTTTAAAGAGAAATCCTCCAACAAAAAAGGTGAGAACGGGTAGCACCGGGCAAATTGCAATGCACGAGCATGAATTCCAATCAGGAATCATTCGGTGAAGGTCGTTTCATGATTAGAGTTAGGCCCAGTTATAGAATGTATATTTTATTGTTTGCTTCCCTTTGAGTCACTGATAACATGTAAAATGTATCCTAAGTCTACCCCAGGTTTAGGTCGGAATCCCTGTCCAGACACTTTTGAGATGGTTCCCGGCTGTGGCCAAAAACCCTGCACCAGTTAAAATGAAGCCTCACGGATAATGTCATGGTCATGGACATTGGGACATCTGTTTTCAGATGCCCTTCAAAGGGACACCACAAGGAAACCAACCTCTGTAAAATCATAGCCGTTTAAATCATGGACAAGTAGTTGAACAACTCAAATTGTATACCCGATCGCTCAGTTGGAAAGCTTCCCACAGGTCCCTGGGATTGTTTGCGAAAACTATAACAGGCCCAAGAAACAACGGGCAGAACTAAAGCTGAAAACCCGCAACACCAGAACGTGAACCAGCCGGAGGTCTGATTGGAACACTTTCAGGGTTCCGACGACCACGGAGTTCAAGTGGGTGGCACAGTTCTTCCTTTGGGCCAAGGGGGAGGACTAGACCCAGGGGGAAGCCAACAAGGGGAAACACATCTTAAGCAACTAGAAGCCAGGGACTCTTTGGGTCAGCGAGTCTCTTGGCGCCCGGCTCCAAACAACATTCCAACCTGCAGCGCAACTTGGCTGCTTGCAGCCGAACAAACGGAATAGGACCAACGAGGCAAACTCTAAACAAGAACTGTGAAAACACGAGACTCAAGCCCGAAAAGCATGCGTCACAGTGAGCTTCAAGCTGCGGGCATTTGGCGGTTGCGGCAGCTCTTCGTCGATGAAGGTCAGGTAGTAGCGCAATTGGCTTGCCATGAGCCCAAGGTCACACGTCCGCGGGGCCGTCTGGGCACTGAAACTAGCGGAGGCACGCCAGAGAAAGCGGATTCAAATTGAGCGCCCTGACATGTATGGGTGAACAATTTGTGTTCAAGTGTCGTCGGTTGCCGTGTTGCGTGCTTTCTCTTGGTGGCGGAAGCCCATGCTCCTCTCGCCTGCCAAACTCCTTTCAACTCGCCGGAAAATCACACGAAACTGTTGATCGATTGAAGGTGGAAACGGGTGTAATGGGTTGCCAAGAGGGACGTTCCATCTCCCAATTTCACACCGAACTGGACACACCACTTGGATGGGCCCACAAACCCAACCCCGAGGGGTTTGATTTGCAACCATTGGCAACCCCACCAAACCAGTGGAAGCACTTCCCGCAGCCCGGAAACGCTGCGATCTGCCTATATCAAGTCAAGGAACTACCTCATGGCTTATTTTTGCTCGTTGTGTCCCATTGGTTAAAGACGCTCCGCATGAAATAGGCCAACATATATTTCGTATCCGGGATGCTTCGTCTGAAAGGCGAAGAGGGTGAGTGTCAGCACCACCGCGGCCTGCGCAGGGGTCCCTTGTTGGATGGGTGCGCGAAACCAATATGAAACCAACCACCCTACTAAAATTTGAGAGACACACCCAAAACAAATCAAATGCAATTGTTTCATGCCCCATGCTTTCCTGGAGGGAGTTTTTGTTCTAAACAAAGAAATGCTTTAAGACGCCTTGCTTGTATACAGCCGACACAAAAACTGAAAAACAAGGGCTGCCCTGCAAGACCCCTGTATCCGAGCTGGTTCACAGGTGCGCGCTTGGCCGATGTGCGAATGACTATCATCTTTCACCGCGGTCTCTGGGTTCGTCAGCAGCAGTCTAAGAGAGGGCGCGGGAACTACCTCTACAGGTTCACATGAATAGCAAGGCGTGCCAAATACGCACGCAAAGACACACACACACACACACACACGCGCCGCGCGCGAACTCACACAAAGACAGCCACACACCCACCACGCCAGCACAGCACAGCACAGCACAGCACAGCACAGCACAGCACAGCACAGCACAGCACAGCACAGCACAGCACAGCACAGCACAGCACAGCACAGCACAGCACAGCACAGCACAGCACAGCACAGCACAGCACAGCACAGCACAGCACACCACGCACGGCCACGCCACGCCACGCCACGCCACGCCACGCCACGCCACGCCACGCCACGCCACGCCACGCCACGCCACGCCACGGTCACACCACACCACGCCACACAACCACACACAATACGTACACACATGGGCATGCATGTTTCAGTCATACACTTTAGTCACATCAGTGTTCGTTTGGCTACGGCAGGGACCGAAGCGAGGGGGTCACATCATGGTCACATCAATCTGCGTGGGCAGCACTAAGGATGAATATCCGCCAGCGGTCAACGACTGTCGCACTCCGTGCCGAGGCACGGTGATCGCGAGGGTTACGAGCACAGACTGGACGGTGTACTGCACGCAAATGAAGCCTCAGCCCCCTCTTCATGCAGCCCGGTCCGGTGCACATTGGGACCCCTCCACTGGATAGCTCTCAGAAGCCCCGTCTACGAACTGCTAAGGGCCTTTGATTTTCTCCCTAGGCGCCAGGACAAAAAGAGAAACCACCGGAAACGGCTGAGCAAACTTCAGCGCTTGCGGTGCGCACACTGCCAACATGGGCGGTGTGCCTCCCTTGTACGAGAAGCGGCGTTCCAAGGTTCATGAGAAATCAAAACGTCACTTCACTCATTTGTGTGTTTCTCCCAACCCTCCCACCCAACACACCTTTGATTCATCCATGGGGGATGCGCGACCTGGTGTGTTGGGCCTGCCCCTCCATCCATGGTCAGTGGATGGGGCAGGCCAACCAAATCGTTCCAGGGGAGAGTTTCCCCCCTGGAAGTGAAAAAGATTCTCCGGTGAAAACGGCCATGTGTACATCGTCAACCTGTCAGGGGGCGCAAAGGGGCCTGAGCCTAAACACATGTGCCGTTTACGTGACGTTTCATGAGTGGCAAGCAACCCATTTCCACGTCACTTCACTCATTTGTGTGTTTCTCCCAACCCTCCCACCCAACACACCTTTGATTCATCCATGGGGGATGCGCGACCTGGTGTGTTGGGCCTGCCCCTCCATCCATGGTCAGTGGATGGGGCAGGCCAACCAAATCGTTCCAGGCAAGAGTTTCCCCTTCCGCAGGGCGACCCTGGAACGCTTTCCTTAAAACGGAGCCCGCTGCCACAACACCCGAGAGTGACAGCCTCCCTATGACTGACATGCCTCCTACCGCATGCCAGCCTGAGAGAAACCTCTCTCGAAACCCTCCTCTTTTGTTTTGTTTTCTTTCCCCCTGCCTCACCATGGTTCCTTCCATCTCATCTCCGCCTTCTTGGGCTTCTTGGCCGAGTTCTTGTCGTAGCGCTCCTGGCCCTTCTTCTTCTTATCGTTCTCGAGCCTGATCTCCGAGTCCAGCTGCATGGCCGCCTCCATGATCTTCGGAATTACTTTGAAGCCCAACTCGTCCAGCTCCAACCGCACCCTCAGGTCTGGGTTGAAGAGGGTGAAGTCCAGGTTGGTGAGCGCGTCCGCTTCTTCGTTCTGCTCCCGAGGTGTCCACCCGAGCTGAAGGGTTGTGCCCAAGTCGCCCAGCTGAACTGCTAGCTCCATCAGCACCACCGAGAGAGGGAACGCCGTGCTCATGTAGTGGTCGATGACGTGCGTGTTGACCAGGCTGTCGGTGAACCCTTGCACCACGAGCTCGCCCACCGAATCTCTCCACTGCGATCCTGGCCCGAAGATGCAGACAGCTATGGTGGTCGCGATCAGCTCCAGGCTAGCTATCACGCGGAACGGCTCGCCCTTCACGTAGGCCCACGGGGCTGTCTTCCGTGTCAGTTTCAGCGAGAACCACCGTGCCTCCGCGGTGGAATTCTCCGACCACCACCGGATCTCCCTCCGCCTTGGCATCCACCCGAAAGAGTTCGCCCACCTTCTTTGGCAACGGCCGTGGCTCCGTCATAGGACGCCGAGTGATCTCCACTTTGATGAACTCCAGCACGATCTGCACCGCCATCGGCACCTGATGAAAACCTCCCGGCTGAAGCCTGGAGGTCCAAGCGAAGATCACCCCCAGGAAGGGGCGTACCTGCACCAGCGCGCCCGCCATGAACGAAAGCCGTCCCAGCGCTGATCTCATCCGGCTGCCCAGGATGCTGCCCTCGTCCTTGACCTCCTTTATCCAGCCCAGAACCCACGCTACCTTGCTGTCTCCTATGGCCTTGAGGTAGCGCTGAATGTCGGCCTCGTAGCCGATCCAGCCCAGCCTAACTCCTCCAGCAACCTTCTTCCAGGTGATCGGCACCTCCACCACGTCCATCACGAAGAACCAGTAGAGGATCCGCCTCCAGCAGTCCGCACCGTGGGCCCCGAGGAGCCCATCGTCAGCAAATAGCAGGTGATAGAGCTCGTAGGCGCCGGCCGACATGTAGTGCGCCAATCTGGTGACTGCCGCTGCCACCCTCTGCCACCAGCCGACCCGAAACCGAAGGCCCCCCACCGTGCGCATGAAGACCTCTTCCGGCTTCTCCAGGCTGAAGGCCATGAGCGGCCAGTCCTGCTCCTTGACGGGCACCAACTTGTGGGCACGGCTGACATCGTACTTCATGAGCAACCTGACTGCCGGGTTCGCTGCCTGGTCCGCCTTCATCTGCCTGACCATCGCCTCCAGATCGTCCACCCCCGGGAACCTCATGCGGTCCCTCGCCCGAATCCGGTGGTTGATCATCACCTCGTGGGTTGCGTCGTGAATGATCCTCACCTTTGATGACCCCAACTCCTTGGGGACCGCCCCCAAAGAGGCCACCGCTAACCTGCCTCCGAACTTTTCCACCGCCGCCTGCTTGTCCATCCGGATCACACATGGCCCCTCTCGATGTCTTCCTCCACTTGCCGCCGAATGTCCTCCATGTTGTCCACCGCCGAGCCGTAGTTCTCGCACCAGACCTCCTTGAAGGGGCCATCCACCTCTTCGAGATTCCACTCACCTTGGCTTCGAAGACCGCTGGCACCCGGGGCATCTCCTCGTCCACACCCAGGTCCACCCCCGTTTCCACCAAGGGGATGAGGAACTGATGAGCGGGGTCCTCCGCAACTTTCAGCAGGGCCTCCATCCTCCTGTACTAAATCTCCGTGATCCAGTCGGTCACCTGCCGAGTCACCTCGCATCCCAGAGAGGCCAGCTTGACGTCCACCTCCCTCCGGCAGCCATCCACAAATTTGCCGAACGGGGAGCCGGTGAGCCTGCCCGCTGCCATCTGCCAGAACGTCTCCTGGCCTCTTTCCTGGCTCAGCCAACCTTTGAAGAACTTCCTGATGATCTCCCTGATCTCGCAAAAGTGGGTGCCCTCGGGAAAGTTCCTGGCCCCCACTCTCCATCTTCCCGGTGAACAAAGTCCTCCTCCGTCGTGAACGCCCCTCTTCTTGCCTTTGTAGCAGGCCTGCATAGGCCTCCCTACTCCCCAAAATCCCTCCACCTCGAAGTCCTTTTCTCCACTGATCTTGCCCTCCTTGATGTCCCCGTCCGTCTCCTTCATGGCGTCCCACACGAACTTGCCCTTCGAGGAGTTCTTGATCGTTGCCTTCTCGAGCGCCCCCTTCTCGCCAAGCCCTTCCACCCCTTCCGCAGGGGGCTTGGTGAGATGTGGTGCCTCCAGCAGCACCTGATTGATAGCCGCTGCCAAGGCCGCATCCATATCTGCCGGGTAGGTTGATGCTGCCGGAGTCCGGAAGGCCTCCTCTGGGTGCTGCTTGGCCAGACCGTATTTGTGGTTGTGACCGCAATGCCTCGGCAGCGGGCCCAAGTATCTCCCCTGGCCGTCCAGCTGGGGCCACTGGTTGTAGAGGAAGCTGGCGTGCAGCGGGAGGTCTGTCAGCAAGCGCGTCGGCTTGGGCGTCGGGGCCCCCCAGTTGCACTGGTGCAGAGCGATGGACTGCATGCCCCCGAGCTTCTCCGCTGCGTTCCGGAGGTCCGGCAGCTTCCAAATGGATGCAGGGCTCACCCATTTGCCCTGAGCGACAGGGCTGTGTAGTCCGCCAAGGTCTTCTGGGTGCTCTCCAGGAAGTAGGGTCGGCGAGCGATCAGGTCGCACCACGTAGTGCCCAACAACATCAGGATGTCGATGAACAATACGATCATGATGTTACCTTCATCCGCCCGCTTCTGCAACTTCTCTGAGAGTGACGGGTACCCCCAAGGCCTTGCTTCGTCTTGTACTGGCTTGGGTCCGAAGTGATTGGCCCAAGTCACCCGTGACCACGTCCCACAAGGAGGGGTGACAATGATCACCGCGCACTTGCCCCCCTTGATCTGCTCCAGTATGCCCTGCCGCTTGCCCTCGTCTGTGAGGTCGTGGTCGGGGTTCCTGAGCATGTCCCACTCCTCCAAGAGCACCTTGTAGCCCGCTTTTGAAGCCATCTCTCGCAATTGGCTGCCCGTCGATGACTTCCTTTCCTCGCCGCTGAAGAGGTACAGCACGTTGAAGGTGCGCCCCGGCTCCTCTTGCCCAGCCGGAGCCACCTGTGGTCCTCAGGCCTCGTCCTTTCCCCCTTCGTTGGGGTTGGGACGACACAGATGCTGTGGGTGTGACCCCAGGCATTTGCGGCAGCAGTGCACGCGGTTGCATGGGCCCCGGCACCTCTCCTGTGGAGACCGAAGACGTGCTCCCCCAGAAGGTGGTTGGCGTAGCGACTGAAGATGTTGGGCGTGATCCGCTGGAATGCCGCCTTGTTCGGGTAGCGAAATGCGCACATCAGGATGGCGTTGGCCACGAGATCCAACCTAACCCGCAGCTCTTCCGGCCCCGATGGCCGCGAGTTCTGCACCGCCCCCTTCTTCACCTTGATCGTGCCCGTGCTGTGGTCGATGACCGCTCCGACTGGTGCCACATCCGCGTCCTCCCTGCTGACGAACTCGGTGAGGTGCATGAACCGCCACTCGCCCTGCTCGATCTGGTCGAACAGGTTCTCGAGGGTGCTGGGCGCCGGTGTGACCCTGTCCTCCATTTTCTGGTAGGTGTCCTCGTACTTGGACCTCAGCGCCGCATGCTCTGTCCGTGAGACCACCTTGGGCATGCTAGACACGGTAGCCTCGGCCTCGACCTTGTTGCGCGTTTCCACCCGCACCCTCGCTGCTTCCCATGCGTCAACCACCGCCGCAATGTTCACGTCTCCGCCGGCTGCATCTGGGTCGATGTTGAGTGTCCTCCGGCAGAAATCCCGGATGCCGCACCGGTCGTCAGCCAGCACCGCGAACCGGCAGACTGTCCTTACCCTTGCTGCTGCCAACGCCACCTGCACATCTGGCGGCACCTCCTTGATGTCCAGCAGGCCACCGAAGTCGGGGTCCAGGGTCCCGATAGCTGCCTGCTGCGCCGCATCCAGCACAACCGCGCCGGCCATGACCCCTTTCCTTTACCGGCTCTAGCCGAGAGGTAGCAGCATCCATGCTGGTACCCACTGATCCTTGTGGCTCCCCATGTCCCGGCCCTTGCTAACAGACTTCAATCAAGAGCCGCTCTTGCATGCTACTATCACTCCGACCCGACCTCCCTGACGCATGACAGCTTGCCCGATCCCTCATGCGCCTGCAAGTGAGGTTGCACCTCAACCTCACCCTTCCTGCCCCCCCTTTCCCAAACTGTTGGCCCCGCGCCTGTCCTTTTCCGGCCGACCCCTTTGGTTTGGGTGGAACTGAAAACGGGTGAAACAGGCTAGTCCAGCGACTCCGTGGATGCCGAAATCGAGGATGACACCTCGCTGTCCTCGGTAGCCCCCGACTCGTCGCCAGCCTCGACACCCCGAGGGAAGCACTCTTTGCGCGCCCGGTGGTACATGCCCTCCGGGGGTAGGTTCTCGCCCAAGTCCTCAAACCGCTTGTAGTGCACCCCCGGAACACGATGACACTCTCCCCCCGGTGGAGTGTCCTCCTCTGCGATCTCCCTACCAGACTCACGAAGTACCGGCTCTTGTAACCCTCCGGCGTCCGATCTGGCTCGCTGGCGGTCTCTTCATTCCTGCCCCCCTCGTCGCCGTCTTCCACCTCGACGACCTCCAGCGGATCCTTCTCCCCTTCTCCGACGCCTGCCAGCTGTCCTTCCCGAGGATGCTCGCGAAGATGCCCCCCTGGAAGCTAGTCAGCCTCAGCCTCTGGTCCTCCACATCGTTAGCGTCCACCTCTTGCACCGCCAGCTTCTCCACGACCTTCTCCAAGATGGACTCCTCGTCCAGCTTGTCTGGGCCTCCCAAGTTGTTCCGGATCTCCTCGGCCATCATCTTCTGTGCCTTCTCCACGTTGCCCCTGATGGCTTGGCCACATAGTCGTCGACTCCCAGCGAAGCCGCCCAAGACCTCAAGGTTGCTCTTTCGGAATGCTCCGACCAAACAGTACCCGCGCCCTGGCAAAGCAGAACCCTCCAGGCCGTCCTACCCCTTCTAACTCATCCTGCTTCCGCTGGCTCATCACAAGCTCGCCCAGCAAGGCCTGACTCATCTGCGACGCGTGGTAGTTCTTGCCCATGGCCCCGATGAGGCCGGTGCCCTCGCAGTTGGGCAAGGCCAGAAAGAAGTCCCGATTGAACAAGCCTGCCTCCTCGCTCATGGTTTTCCACAGCTGGTAGCCAACCCCAAGCCACCTGGGCTCCTCCAGCCATGCCTCCACCGAGATGAAGACGTGCTGGATCTCGACCTTCTTCCCCGCTCCGGTGGTCTTGGTCCTCTCCAGAACACCCCGAAGACCACGGCCACTCATCTCCAGCTTGCTGAAGGGCATTCCCTGCGTGTCCAAGAAGCGCAGCCCCCCCAGAGCTTTACCAACCGAAACCAGGCATAGGCCCGGGGGTATCTGGGCACCCCCTCCGTCATCACGTATCTCTCCAGGGCCCTGATGATCTCTACCGGGATCTGCACAGCCTGCCGCCGTCCTCGCAAATCCAAGCTGCCCAACTCCAGGTTGACCTCCTCCAGGGTGTTCTGCAGCGCAGGGCGCTTGCAGAGCCTTTCCTTCTCCGGCACCTCCCCAGCCACCTCGATGAACATGAGGGTCTTCATCAAACTTGTGGGGATGCTCTTGCCGCATGGCTCGGCCACCCGATGCATGACGTACTCGATGAACTGCTCGAAGGTCCGCGGCCATGGCACATTGAAGGTGCTATACAGCCACGTAGCAACGTGCCGCCAGGTCTTGACGTGCTTCCGCAAAGTGGTGGATCTCCTCCCTTTCCCGATCCGGTGCCAGGCCGTCCCGTCCGGTCCGCGTTCCACCCCTCCGCAGCCGGCAGCTCCGACTCCACGATGATCCTCTTGAGCATCACCGTCCACCTCGTCCTTTCCGATCTCTCGGCCCGATCTCGCAGGTCCATGTTGTCTCCAGCTCGCCCCACCAGCCTGCTGAGCCGGCAGGGCCAGCGTGCCAAGGGAGCTTTGCCCTTCCTGCAGGGCAGCGCCTCAAGATCCACGACCTCCGCCACCATCTCCTGCCGGAAGGTCCTAGCCCGCTTGAAGCAGTCCAACCCGCCTGACCGGCCTTCCACCCCCCACTGGATCCTGCCGGTGCTCCCGCACTCTTTGACCTTCTTGTAGAACTCCTCCAGCTCCTCCTCCGCGCGGCTTCACGCCCAAAGGCCTTCTCCAGGAGCTCGCGAAGGCCCCTCTTCGGCAGGTCGTCCAGTGTTCCGAGCCTGGCCGTGGTCCAGCCGCACGCCGCTAGCCTGGACCACGGCTCAGGCCACTCCATCGCCGCGAGAGTGCCCCCCTCTACTCAAAACAGGCCTGAGCCTAAACACATGTGCCGTTTACGTGACGTTTCATGAGTGGCAAGCAACCCATTTCCACAACACACACGCAACCAAAAGGAGTTGACCAGAGGAAGGCAGGAAGGCCCCGCAAAATAAATCTCCCGCGCGGGCAACTGTTGTCCGCATTTGCTGCGAGGCTCAGAAAAAGGCAAACATATGCGGATTCAAAGGTCCAACAGTGGCCTTCGGGGCCTATAGATCCCATCAGAAAAACTGGTTGCTTCCCTCAGGTCCCCCGGAAAAAGTGACGGACTTTTCGTGGGTTACATGCGGAAAACTAAACGGCTAAAACCCCAACCGGATGGCTGGGGGAACCCCCACTAAACCCTAAGGCTAAAACCCGAAGGAACCGAATGGCTGGGAACCCCCACTAAACCCTAAGGCTCAAACCTGAAAGAACCAGATGGCCGGGAACCCCCACTAAACGCCAAGCGCTCAAACCCTAAGGAACCGAATGGCTGGGAACCCCCACTAAACCCTAAGGCTCAAACCCTAAGGAACCGGATGGCTGGGAACCCCCACTAAACCCTAAGGCTCAAACCCTAAGGAACCGGATGGCTGGGAACCCCCACTAAACCCCAAACGCTCAAACCCTAAGGAACCGGATGGCCGGGAACCCCCACTAAACCCTAAGGCTAAAACCCTAAGGAACCGGATGGCTGGGAACCCCACTAAACCCAAAAAAGGCTCAAACGCGAAGGAACCGGATGGCCGGGAACCCCCACTAAACCCTAAGGCTAAAACCCTAAGGAAACGGATGGCTGGGAACCCCACTAAAACCCAAAAAGGCTCAAACCCGAAGGAACCGGATGACCGGGAACCCCCACTAAACCCTAAGGCTAAAACCCTAAGGAACCGGATGGCCGGGACCCCCCACTAAACCCTAAGGCTCAAACCCTAAGGAACCAGATGGCTGGGAACCCCCACTAAACCCTAAGGCTAAAACCCTAAGGAACCGAATGGCCGGGAACCCCGACTAAACCCTAAGGCTAAAACCCTAAGGAACCGAATGGCTGGGAACCCCCACTAAACCCTAAGGCTCAAACCCTAAGGAACCGGATGGTTTGGAACCCCCCACTGAACCCTAAGGCTAAAACCCTAAGGAACCGAATGGCTGGGAACCCCCACTAAACCCTAAGGCCAACACCCCAAGCAACCGGAGCCCCCAGAAGTGCTTGATTAATAATTAAGTGAACCTTGCTTAACAAGAATGCTTAATGAAACATGTTTCCCTTTCAAAAAGCTATGTTTTTGTTGTTTAAAGCAAACATGTTTTAGGCTTGGTTTATGCTTAATTAAGCATTGTAGTTTTTAATTGAGCAATGTTTGCTTACACTGTTTGTGTTTGAAAAAGAAGAAGTGGCTTTTTAGAGAGCTTGATTTTCCATGATCAGTTGATATTAACCACACGTCTAGATTGTTTTACAATATGGGTTCAATGTAGTTTTCTTTGAATGCTGATCTTTGTTTCGATGGCTGGGAACCCCCACTAAATCCTAAGGCTCAAACCCGAAGGAACCGGATGGCCGGGAACCCCCACTAAACCCTAAGGCTCAAAGCCTAAAGAACCGGCTGGCTGGGAACCCCCACTAAATTCCAAAAAGGCTCAAACCGGGAACCCCCACTAAACCCTAAGGCTAAAAACCCGAAGGAACCGGATGGCTGGGAGCCCCCGCTAAACCCGAAAAGGCGAAACACCTTTCTGGGCAAGGTTCTGAGTTGAGAGGCTTCCACAGATTGCCTGGCCTTCGGGGGGGAGGGGTGTGCCAGGGGTGATGCTTTCCACCACATTTCCTTGCACCATTGGGTCAGCCGTGGTGAGCCTATGAAATGCCGTCTGTTTCATTTGGAAGGAGTTTGTGCAGCCTCGCCAGTGAACAAGCGAGCTTACCTCTACGGGGGTACTGCGAGCTCCGGATAGCTCGCGCATGATGAAGGTCCCTTGAATGAAACTCCTGAGGTCTTGGTGAATTGCCGCGAGCGTGATGTGAACCCTGTGAAACTTTGGTTGGTTATCATGTGGCGTCCCATTGTAGTGGAAATCCTTTACTTTTGTGGGTGACACTCCCTATTAGCGGAAAGCGTTGTGAATCCAGGGTTCCAAGACCTCTGTTTGCCGGTGCTCTCCAAAACTCTAAGGCCTCAAGTACCCAAAATCAGCGCAATCCTTTATGAGATATGAAGAGGGGCATTAGGCCACATAACCCACACATTCCTTTTGTATGAGCTCTAGGTTCTGGGGTCATTTCGGGTAAGGAAGGGGCTCATTCGAAGAGGGTGAAGCCAAGCCTTCAAACATTGCAACTATCCCAAGGGCCCCGCATCCAAACACATCTCCCCGACACGAAATAGAGAATCGAAGGAAAACGCAACAAACAAAACAAACAAACAAAAGAAACAACAAAAGGCAAACAAGGCGGAAACCACAGACAAAGCAAGCAGAACCATGTCGAGGCGAAAGTCATTTTTCTTATCGATTTGTTTTCTTCGAGCTGCCAACCAGCACGGACTCGGCCACGGTGAAAGCCGTGAGCCTCGAATTCCAACAAATCGGAGAATGAAAATTCGGAAGCCACGCAATCCTTCCATTTCTTAGTTGTTCAGTGA